CGGTAAAACGAGGAAGAGCTATAACAGGTTACACTTGACACACTATATGTATACATACTATATGTAAGGCATCGCGTGTAGATTTAAAAGATATATTCTAACTGAACTAATCCAAGACTAAAAAAATTAAACTAAATTGAGAAGGTTTAATCATAAAAGAATCAAAGGGTATATGTATTTTTAAAGACAAAAGTTTTTGAGGCAAAACACTAACAAGCAGTTCGTATAAAAACATTAATCCGCCTCTATAATATAGAACTTATCTACAACTCTAATATTTGAATACTCGAATACTCGAATTCTCGAATATTCGAATATGTATTCGAATACTCGAATATTCGAATAATAGAAAACTCGAATACTCGAGTTTTAGATTTAAATAAATTCCGAGCACTAACCTAGATCATTCATATACATAAATATAATTTTCACAGAACAACCTTTTCAAACTATCAGCTGGAAGAATTGGAAAACGCTTTTTATAAAACCCACTATCCAGATGTGTTTTTTCGAGAGGAATTGGCCCTTCGAATAGATCTAACGGAGGCTAGAGTCCAGGTTTGGTTTCAAAATAGACGGGCAAAATGGCGGAAACAACAAAAATATATGTGCAAGGCTCTAGGACACATGTGTACTCACAGAGAGTCTTCCCAAGGTACACCCTACCCTGTATAATGCAATCGTAAAGCAAATATTTTTGCACACATTTTTCAATGGCTTTAAAAGGATCTATCAGAAGTAAAATTTCAGAGTTAGAGTGGTTCGCGGCTAGAGGGTTGGCTTGGGGGTAGCTTAGTTCATATATAAAATTGGTCTACTTATTATAGAAACGGTTGCCAGGAATTGTATATATATTTTTTGTTTCTCAGATCTATTGCAATTTTTTTTATTGCCACCTTATATGTTACGGTTAACGATCGAATTTATTTATCGTTTGTTTGATTAATATCCAAGCTCCAGCCGGCATCAATAAGCTAACGTTGACATTAACTCTAATGACTTGTTTAACCACAAAGTTTATGCTATTTAAGTATATACAAGGTGATTCACAACATTATGGACACAGAGCAGCGGCGTGTAGAGGATCTCAAAACAAGTCAAGTTTCCTTTTAAGTTTTTTCCTCAGGCCCATGGTTAACGAGATATAGGGTGTTAAATAAAAAAAAAATGGAATTTTCTCTTTAACTCCCTACAGTTTATGAGATATTCTTCTCAAATGTTTAACGTAGGCTAATGTTTAGACCCTTTACCGCAGGTAAGGTAAGGTAAGGTTGTGCAAATCTACAGGGTGTTCTTTTTTTCTAGGGGCATGCCCTCTTTTACCACCCCAAATTTTTTTGTAGTGCGGCACTGACTTCGACCGAAAAAATTTTTCAATTAGTTTCATTTTGATTGTTGAATTGAACAGTGTTTTCGTATCTGCCTTCGTTTTCTAGTAATTTGCACAAAATAAGTACATGTAGGGTTTCTGGGTGATTTAATATGATTTTTTTAATAACTTTTTTATTTGAATGAATTTATATGTGCAACTTTTCGGTCAGAAGCGATCATTATAAAGAAACACTTTTCTTTACTGTTCATTTGTTTAACTTTTACGCACGGACTTTTACGCACATGTGCGCAAAGGTGAATGTGACAAATTGAAACTGTCAATGTCATTATAGTTTTTAAAGTATTTTGATTAAAAAGTAACCGATGTGCTTTTTTAATGAATTATATAGGTTTATTGACAACTATTAATTATAATTTAAAGTTTACTTACAATTTCTAAATTATAACGTTGTTACAAGTTCAGTCTCAAAGTCGTTCAAATGGTCTATTTTTCTGCGCTCGCAGAAGTTGCCACAAGCAAAACACGATTTTTTTAAATTGCGCAAATTTCATGCTAAATATTCAACTTATACAAACACTTAACCCTTGAAAGCAGCACTTGAATTTTCCACACTTATTGTTTCACTTTTATTTGATTACAAAAGTACGCTTTTAAAAAATTACAAACGTCAAAACATGACGATTTCAAAAATGGCATTGACATCAAATTTTATTTTTGACTTATTTTGCTGACTGCCTGTAATTGTTATTATTTTATTTCCTGGGCTCCAGTCAAAGTGTGAAACAAAAATTTGTATATCGTTTATTTCATTACGTTTTGGCGAGACAATAGCGCCATCATCAGGTTATAAAATTTATACAAACTCATAATTGGTAAACATTACATTCATTTAGGCGTTCGCTGTCTTGAAATCTTCAATTTGTTTGAATTATTTTCTACATTTTCAAAAAATGTTATACAAATGTTTGTTTCACAGTTTAACTGGAGCCCAGGAAAGATAATATAATAACAATTACACGCAGTCAGTAAAATAAATAAAAAATAAAAAATATAAATTATATTATTATATAAATTACATATGATAATACAAAAATAAAATTTTAAATATGAAGTTGACGCCTTTTATTTTTGGCTATTTTTGTTTATTATAACTTATGATTCGTGTTATGTCCTTTATTCGAATAAAAAATATTGTTCGATACGAGGGCGGAAATCCGTTTTTCGAACTCCTGATGAAATGCCGTTGTCGTTCGAAAAACGACACTTTTCGCCTTTGTATCGAAAACTATTATTTATGTGCCCTTTTATTCAGTTCATATTCGTTGCAAATGTAACAAATATTTCGATTTATTATGAAATTAATTTCATAAAATTAAATAAGTTAAATTAATGGTGCTGTTCAAAATGGTCTCTGTTTTCTCTTAAGCATAAATGGACCACCTTAATAAATAATTAAATCTCATTTTTTATAATGGTACATGCTTAAGAGCAAACGGAGACCATTTTGAACAGCAGCTTTAATTTGACTTATAACAACATATACAAACAACAGAACAAATTGCTCTCAGACTAAAAACAAAAATTAGAAACCCCCGAAATCCGCTGCACAACCCTTCTAACTAACTACTATACGAACGCACAAACATGACAAAAATTACCGAAAGACTAATACACTTACAGACAAAGTGGACAAACAACCCCCACAACTGGACCTTACTGAACCCCCTTTACCTCACAAGACAAACCAGACAATCCCGCTTCCGCTTCGCAACAACAACACTATTTGAACACTTACACCTACAACACTACGGAACCAACCTACTGGACAAACAGACCTAATGGCAGATCCCCCTGGAATCACCCACCTTAAGCAGGTGAATCCCGACGTCTCAAATCTTCTGGAAAACACCTAAACTCTCAAACTCTTCCAAATTTAAAAACCAAACGCCACAAACCACTACTTTTCTTGTTTTGTTGTCTTACTTTTTTCGTTCGTTTCACACTAGTACTATTCTTCGCTCTTAGTCCCACAAACTCCCGAAAACTTGCAGTAAAGACGGAAAGCCTTGAATGGCTATGTCTATTTAAACATCAAGCACAACCTACTAGACGATGAAATGACATGACAGGATGAGATAATTTTTATTTATTTTGCATTGTTTTTTTAATTAGTATATTTTTTGTTATTGTTATTAATAACAAAATATTATAACATGTATGCAAGGGCAGAAAGACCAACAGGTCGATAGCCTATTGAAAATAAAGATTATTATTATTATTATTTTAATAATAGATCGAGATATTTGTTACATTTTTGTGTATTTTTATTTGGATTAGCGTACAGCCATGGGCCTGAGAGTAAAAACTTAAATGGAAACTCGACTTGTTTTGAGGTCCTCTACACGCCCCTGCTCTGTGTCCATAAGGTTGTGAATCACCCTATATATAAATTTCTTCGTCTCTAGTTCCTGATATTTACATAGGACGTAGTGCTGATAGAAAGTGAATTATGCGTACTTTTGTATTTTACCTTGAATTAATAGTTAGTGTTGGAGGCAGTTATTTTACCATCCGCGTTCAATCATAAACTTTATATGTTTGAACAAGCGCTAAGAGCTGTTTTTGCAGATAATCAACCATTTATAGAACCAGCTTTACTCACTTATTCACCGACAGATAACACCAATTCTCCGAATCTGTTCATGGGCTTGGAATGGTCAAATATCGTCCAACCGATTGGTTTTTCTAATCCGGATTCTTCAGACTTACCTTGCGCTGACCCTCATCAATTAATAGATTCAGTAAATACGAATTCAGTGAGGTAAATATTTTTTGGACTTCCGTTCCTCTGTGTTAAAGTAACATTATTTATTATTGTTTTATATTATAAAGTAAATGACAATAGTCATTTATTTTAGTGACGAAATAGATGTATCACTTGCTGACCGTCTGACACGGTCTGGGCAAGGTAACATTATAAATAAATCTTCATTGGAAAACACCGCTATAGCGATTTCTATGGAAAACTTATTGGATAATAGTATTTCTTTACAAAATCCGTCAAACATTTCCATTGACAAGGATTTTGACCCTTCTGCAGAGCATTTAGGACAATTTAAGCAATGTGCTTTGGATAATTGCGGCTTAGAATCGACAATGGATGAGTCAGTAGAAGATTCTATGGAAACTACCAGAAATGTATTGCTTTCAGAGATGGAAGAAGGTTGTATGGCGCTCGGTATTTCAGTATGTAGTCAAGAGCAAGATATTTTAATCGACGCGGATTTATTGACTTTGAAGCCCCGCAGTCAGATTTTGAAATAAAGGTGCAATAAAGTACATTTTTCATAAAATTACTATACTTTTTTTCGTTTAATAAAATCATTTTCAGAAATTTCACCAACACATTTTCATTGGGTGAAACAAGTGCGGGTTTCGCGACCGCTAATTTTAGGCTAAACCCAGCTGACGAGAGCTAATAGACTCGAAACCGGTCCTGGGGGTGCCTGAGGTTGGCAAACCTCGAAATTTGCACTGAACAACCTGAATATTGCATCTTACTGATTTCTTATTCGGATCATTAATGCCGATGAACTTCTTGTCGTTTTTTAATTAACTTTAATTTGTAATTAAAGTAATGTGATTTTTTTTGTTACAGAAATGTGTACTGTCACCAAGAAAAAAATGCCAATATAAATTAGTAAATTTAATTTACTGTTTATTGTACCAGATGCAACATCATCACCTTCACCAACAATGTAGTTAGCAGTCAAATGAGCATTACTAACTAACTCTCTGTAATTTAGATTGATATATTTTTTAGATAACTGAGAAAACCTATCTCAGGTGTTCGTCAGAGTCGTCCAGTTGCAAATCCTATTATACAGGATTCTAAATAAATGTTGTAATTACTGAAGATAAAGTTGTAAAAAGCATTAATCTGTTTTTATATCGTAAACATCGTTTGGAAGAATAAACAGTACATTTGTACATTCGCTTTTCCATTGACTCACGTGAATTTGCAGACCAACAGTAACGATTCATAACTGGTTCAGAACTGATCGCATGCGTGTATAGAGATTCAGGGGACAGACCGCATGCGCGTAGAGGCATTCGGGGACAGACCGCATGCCCGTTGAGGCATCGGGTGCTCGCGGTTAAAAAATTACTGGTTCTGAACCGAAAGTTCTATGTTAGCGGTACAGTAAGGCCCATTTTCATCAGAAACAAGCGTAACGCAGTTCGACGAAACAAAGTTTATGTTAAACGCCGAAATTAAACGCGTTTAACGACGGACCGTTTTCACCAGCGCTTCGGTACGTTTCATAAACTGCGTTTAATGAAACGCAGTTTAAGAAACTGGAAACACTGGCATCGTTGCAAAAGTGAGAAATATTACGATTCTCATCGCAAAATCATCTTATCAAGGAACCAT